CACCACCACCACCACCACCACCACCACCACCACCACCACCACCACCACCACCACCATCACCTAAATATAGACCAATGTGAATTTATTTGAGAGCTCTCTATCCATTTGCTTTCAATACTTTATTCAGTATTATTATGTCTCTTCATCTCTCAGAGCTCACATTACAGTCAGTTTTTTTTCCTATTTTTCCCCTTTTATGGAAGGAGGTGGGTGGGTGTTCCTCTGGTTTGCCCAAGATAGAAGAATTAGGATATAGGGTCTGTGGATGTTCCTGTTATTGGCTTCAGAATTTCAATGTTTAGCCTTATCCTTTTTATCATTTCATTTTAGTAAATGATGCAGAACTATCAGGGTAAGAATTACTGTTTATGTTTACCTCAAGACTGCTATGGAAAGATTGAGCTAAAACAAAACTCTTAGATGAGTTCCAAGAAACCATTATCTACCAGGAAAACAATTATTTCTTGAGCTCTATTATGCTTAAACATTGTCATAGACTCCACATCTGCTCAACCTGCTTAGTATAATAAATCATTCTTTTATTTCAATTATCAAAATATATTTTTCTATATTACCCATTATCTATTCAGTTTTACCATAATGAATACTTTTAATAATACATGGCTTCTAAATTTCTAAGGCAATGAAAAATTCTGGCTAAATGAGATTAGTGCAAAAATTTACAAGGCATTATATATTCTTTTATTAATGAAATATTTAGCACAATACCTGATTAATGAAAATCATTTAATAAACATTGATTCATTTTAATATTGACAACATTCATAATTTGACAGCAATGGAAGTTTCAAGTATTAAGTGTTAAAATGTTAACTATTTTAATATTACATTCACCCAGCAAAAATGGTGAAATTACACCTTTTTACTTCATTTCTTCCATGTTTAATATTTAGTTGGATGAATTATGCTTGCCTGAAAATTGTCTTTCCTTCAGACTCCAGACAAAAGTACATCTAGTCAATAACTTGCCTTCAGCAAGAGCTGTATGCACAAATTAAATTCTGATGAGAACTGATCTGCTCTGTTCTCATAATTGAACAAAGATTCCATTTTGTGACTTCTGAAGATGATTGAAATCCTCTATATTTGGAAAAGGTTTTTTTCCCATAATTTATAACACTAATATTCCCTGCTAATACTGAAAACTGCTCTTTCATTTTCTGAGATGAAATTCACTGATTTCTCCCCATTCTTAAAATACATGTTTACATATTTGAGACCATTCCAAGTTCTCTATGTTCCTTTCAAGTCATAAAAAAGATGAAGCATCTCATTTACTAGATTGAGGACAAGGTTTTTGTATTCTTTTGCCAGTGAGAGCAGTTACAGAATCTTAACACTAATGGTCTCCATTCTATTGCTGGTATGTTTAGGAAAAACAAAGTGTCTACTTGAACTGGAACACAGGATGTGTGTTTTATGCAGAAACCATGGTAGTCATGATAGAAATGAGAGATAAATTAAGCTAGCCTAAAGTAATAACGATGAAGCATTATATGATGTTAATGTTAATAAGTTTTACACCTAAAAACATAGAAAGAAACTAGAAGAAAATTTGGTTTTGACATTTACTTAACTACACTGGAGCTGAAAAGGGAACTCTATGTCAACTTGAAAGCAGCATATTGATCTATCACCAACATTCACAATGACACTCATGTTGTAGATACTTATTACATCTGGCAAATAAATTAAATTGATGAGATGATGAGAAAGTGTGGAAATGTAAGAGTGGCCGGTGAACATAAGCCCTATTTTGCTCATCAGCATATCCTCAGCTCCTGACAAAAAGCAAACATTCAATAAGCCTCTCTTAAGTGGAAATGTAGACAGCCCTTGAGCTCAAAAATGCTGAGGCTGAGTTTCAGCAATTAGACCGGGAAAATACCCTTCCCTGTCCGTTACACCTGAACGCATCCACTCTGCTATATCTGATCTCTTCTTTCTTGTTCTACCATGCTACCAAAACAGACCCAAACATGTCCGCTGGGAGGTTTGTCTAAGACCACAATAGGCACCATTTCATTGCAGAGAACTATACTTGGCCTCTGTCATTTTCTTCACCATGACAAATCTTTCTCTTACTGTCACATATATCATTTGCACGACGTAAAAAATGTATACCCAGACAATAAAATACTCTACATACTTTCCTGAATAACTGTTTACTAAAATTTAGTACAAGATTCCATATATTTTGTTTTGCTATTAAAGACAAAGGTACAATGATACCTTTTAGCTTAGGTTAATGTTTGTGAACTTTAATATTGACCTTGTGAAATTATAACTCCACTCTGATATTTTCTCCGTAGGTTATAAGGTATAGTGCTATAGATGAATGCACATTTTAACACCTATTTTATATTTTATAGGGTCACATAATAGCATCCTGCGACACCTGTGGGGTTATAAAGCTATGGGACTTTCGGAAGCTCTTGCCCATTGTGTCCATTGATATTGGTCCCAGCCCCAGCAATGAGGTGAACTTTGATTCAACAGGTAGGATCCTTTTATTTAACTTAGGACCAAAATAACAAGACTGTTATTCATTCTGGAACTGTTTTATCTTCCCTCAGGATTTTTATGGTATTTATTCCTATGAAAATTTGTTTTTTTATATCCCATTACTTACAATGTGTTCAATCTCATCTGTGTTATATATCACATTTATATCATGAAAGAATTACATTTGTCATCTCTTTGAAGGAAGACCTAATGACATGTGTGTGTTAGCATAGATAACACAGCATTGCTGTGGTGCCATAACCTTATTGCTCGAATTTACTTATATCACAATGCAAATAGACTTTTTTTTAAAGCAATAGTAACAGAGAATAAGAAAGAATAAAAGTTGGCGAGGCAGTAACATTTTAATGGAATATTTTAGTCACATGAATTTAATAAATTGCCCTATATCATCTAGACTATACAATTTTTATGAAATATGTGTTCATGTTATTGTTACAGTTGCATACTCTGAATCTTCTAATATTATTTGATCATATTTAGCATTTTTCTGGAATAATGTAAACATTACAAACCAGATAAAAGTATTTTGTCCTTCCTGGTGATGACTAGTGTAACCATCGATATTAAAACCACATTGATTCCAACTGTCCATTTAGAAGATTAAAAATATAGTTGTGTTTACATCTTTGATGCTTGCCTTTGCTAAATAAAAAATGCACAGTGTATCTTTCTTTAGTTAGGATGATTCAATTTTGAACTTTTGGAAGTTGTGAGAATTTCAAAGTATTTGAGATTTCATTGTATTCAAAGGTGTAGTGAAGAGAAAACCTTGCCTTAGTTTTTCAAGAAGAGATAATACTTTTATAAACAATCCATATGAATTCTGTAACACAGAAAGCATAAATATACCGAGAAGTAAGATGACTGTTGTGTATTTCTTAAGGCTCAATGTCATCTTGAGAATAGTTAAATGTGCCTTCTTAAGCTTTAGATTGTGTTCCTGTTATACTGGAGTATGTGAGCCACCTTAAAAACAGTGCCCACTTGAAATATAGTTTTAGTTTCCAGGCATGATGGTACACACCTGTAATCCCAGAATCTGGTAAGTGGAGAACAGAGGATGGTGAGTTCAAAGTTAGCCTGGACTACCAAACACTAAAAAATAAAAAGGAAAAGGTTTTAGGTAATATTCTTGACATTAAGACATTCATGATCTGTCGGAGTTCAAAATGAAAATGCTGTGCATACTAAAGGATCCCAGCTATAACAATTTCTTTGTATGCTATGAAAGCATATTAATATTTCAATTTAATTTCTGACATATAAATCTACCTTGAGAACATAGCTCTTAGGGAGCATTAGCTTGATTTTCATAAACATATCCCAACTATAAATCCCTTACTATTTTGAACGAGCATGTACGTATTCATGTTTTGAGTTCTAAACTTTAAAATATTAAAACTTTTGACAATTCATTATGCTAATAAAAGATATGGTTTATTTTCAAATGCTGTACTAATAAAATAGTTATATCTTACTCTTATTACTAAATATGTTTCCACTGACTTTATAATGACCTTGTCATCAACAGAAAGTTATTGTATGGTCAGACAAATGTGTTTCAAATAAATTATCAGTGTCTATCTTCTTTCATACAAGTCAATATGCTATAAAATCCTTGGTATTGTTCCTGTCCCTGACTGTCGTATTCCTGGTAATTCAGTAATATCAAGAAGAGTGTGACGTGGCAAAGGAGGAACAATAGTAAACACAGGAGACTAAGAGTGTGAGCTGCAGCCAGTGAAAACACTCCGTCAGCCTGAGGCAGTGCAATCTCAACCTGACCTTGCATCTTTTGTCCATTTCTCCAAGGAGCACACGATATTTATTTATTTTTTTTATTTTTGGGTCGGTCGTGGGGCTTGAACTCTGGGCCTGGGCGCTGTCCCTCAGCTCTTCAGCTCAAGGCAAGCGCTCTACCACTTGAGCTACTGCACCACTTCCAGTTTTCGAGTGGTTTATTCGAGGTAAGCGTTTCACGGAATTTCCTGCCCTGGCTGGCTTTGAACCGTGATCCTCAGATCTCAGCCTGCTAGGATTACAGGCGTGAGCCACCGGCGCCTGACACGATATTTAATTTTAATCCCCTGTGTCTGGGAAATTACTGTCCAAAGACTTTTCTTGTTGAGTAATGAGAAATACTTGTTTTTGTGCAGAAGCCCTCACTTACTCTTAATTTAAAAAGTTACAATCTGAAGTTGGAGAACCTAGAGGAAACAAGCACAAGGTCTGATAAAAATATGAAAGTTACACTGGAAAGTACCAAAAATCATGTTCATCTCGAGAGAGAATGAGAGTGAAAATTATAGAGGACAACATAATTGAAATTAGGATATAATTATATACATCTATTCTAATCATTATCCTTTTCAGGAGCATAGTATTTAAAAGAGAAATATATACCTGATTTAATTCATGAAAATATTTGGACTAGGAAAAACATGAAGCCTATGGAAATTCAAAAGATGGCTTAATTTTAAGAGGTTTATATTTATTCCCAGTGGTAAGCTAATGCATGCCCATATGATACAATCATTTCCAAAAGCAATAGGTTAGTACTGAACACTTATTAAGGCCTCACATTAAACTGTGATGGAGTCTAGTAGTGCAGTGATGTACAACTAACACATGATTTGTTATAGCTGTGCTAAGGTGCAACAAGGCTGTTTCCCTTGTGTGTTTGAACCTGAGGAAAGTCATTGGAAGCATCCATGTGATAACATCAGAGTATTCTATAATTCATGTGACAATACAGATAGCATCCTGCCTGATGTATTTCTTACCAAAAATATACTGGTTGTTAGATATTCTCAATGATCCTCATAGAAACAAACATTTCCTATTTCCATTCCATTTAATTAAGAATATCTTGAAATTATGAGGTAATCTTCAAGAGAAAATTATATCCAGAACGTCTGTATATAATATATAAAATATAGTATAATATATGATACTTATTTTTTATAAATAGGGGATTTCTTGTTGCTGCAAATCTGACACAATATAGACATAAAGTTGAAGTGGAGTTGATTAAAAACATGAAATGTTCACACCTTTCATTGAAAATACATCAAATTTCCTTATTATTATTAAGCTCACAAGCAAATATTTTGATTTGAGATTTATCACTGTACATATGTCTCAAGTAATGGTACTTTGTGTTTTAAAATTGAGATGCCCAATCACAAAGCATCTTTTAGATAGAGCTTTGATAAATTTTTTGGAGGGGAAACCAGAAGTTTAGGAAACAAATGCCTACTGTAATTAAAACCATTAGGTTTAACCACATCTTCAGTGCTATTTAGAGTTCAGGAAAATTGTTTAATCTCTCTAAAGTAGCTGCCCTCCCAGAAATATTGGGATATACAGTCTTGTAGTGTTTAACATGGATTCAAAGACATACTAGTATTGTACAATCAGGAACTTTTATCCGGGTCCTCTACTATGCTTATCCTAGAGTGTGAAGGGATCTCAGGGGTCCTTTTCCTGCTTTTAGGAATGAAAAATGGAAGTCAGCCTGCTTGTGTGCAAGTAGAATGCTCAAGGCTTTGCACCACTATAAGGAAGAATGCCAGTGGATCTCTGGTCTAACAGATACAGAGGCCAAAGCCTCATTCTCAGGCAACACTATTTTTCATAATGTAATTGAATGATTGATTGAATTAATACATAAATAGGATATATGTGGTGTGTGTATATTTATATATATGGTCAAAAGATTGGAAAACATATGAATCACCATGTAGGATTTGCTCTTCCCTTGCTGCCGTAGGTGCTATTCATTTAAAAGAGGAATCACGTGTGTGATAGCATTATTTGCATAAAGTTTTATTTGCAACTACATTACTGGTGACAAATACAGATTATCTGTGTTTACACATGAATACATTATTATATATTTTAACCTTGTATTTGTGAAAGGATAAATGTTCCTTTCTCGTTAAACAGAGAGCCTCCTGTTACTATAAAACAATATTTTTTGTGAAGATTTACCATCTAAAATAGCATCTCTCATTTGACATACTCAAAATGCCATATGTTTTCCCATTCAAAAATTTATAACTATTTCAGAAAAATGTTAAATGAAATCTCATCATGAAAGTAATAAAAATGAATGGTGAGAATTTATACATACCATTTTCCACCACCCCCGTGTTCCTGTGTTTATGTACTTTAATAGTAGTTTCCCTCCTTTGGAAACGGGGATTCTAGGATATTTGTAAAAGAATCACATCACTGAAAATGCAGAGGCAGAAATGTGAGCCAGATGGGGACTTTCCAGCAGAAAGCTTTATCAGTAGCACATCATCAAAATGGGCAAAGTTTCCCACCATTTGGAGGAAATCCCAAATACTCTCCACAGGCAGAATTGCAATAAATATGCTAAAATGAGAAGGCCAAAAAAAAAGTCTTGATTGAAAAAATAAGAAATGTATCAGACTTCTCTCTGCCCCAGTTTTTCAAGACAAAAATGAGATAACTCTAAATGCTTGGTCCAAATTAAATTCATCAGTCTCTGTTAATAAAGGCTGCAGTAGATGGCTTTATATTTAAAAGGTCCCTTGTCTTTAGTCCCCTCCGATAGAAACAGTGACGTGTAGTGGAAAAGCACTTATTCAGAAGTTAGAAGCCCTAACTTGGAATTTTCTCTTTTACTTCTTTTGGGTAAAGTGATTTTCAGTGAGTGTTCTAAACATGTGTGGGCCCGGATTTTCTTGTATAGGAAATAGATTTAAAATCCATAAGGATTTTTTCTCCAGCCAAGGTCAGGTCACAGGGACCACCTGGATTGATTTCATACCTAAAAACATAGGCAAGAGAAAAAGAGGCAAATATTAATGAAACAGCAGTTTTTAGATACTGAATGTTGGGTCATTAAAAACACAGTGATTCCTGAAAGAAGAGATGTAGATACGATGAAGGGCATCGCCACCCCAGATTACTGTCTGAAGAAAAGTTTCTAGGTATCA